TTTGTTTAATACTCATGTTGACACAGTACTTAGCTGTAGTAACTCAGTAAGTATCAAAAAGTTTGGAGAAAACTATCAAGGGCATTCAAGAATAGAAAATTACAGCCAATATTCCTCATGAATATAGAGGGAAAAATTTTTTTTTATGTTTATTTATTTTGAGAGAGGGAGAGAGAGAGAGAGAGAGAGAGAGAGAGAGAGAGAGAATCCCAAGCAGACTCCACACTCAGCGCCCATGAAGCCCAACATGGGGCTGAATCCCACGACTGTGAGACCATGACCTTAGCCAAAATCAAGAGTCGGATGCTTAACTGATTGAGCCACCCAGGCACGCACTCCAGATGCAAAGATCTTTACAAAATACTAGTGAATTAAATCCGGCAATATATAGAAAAGGCTAACGTCATAACCAACTGGAGTTCATCCCAGGAATGCAAAGATGGTTTTTTAACATTTTTTAAAATGCTTATTTATTTTTGAAAGACACAGAGAGAGAGGCAGAGAGTGAGCAGGGGAGGGGCAAAAAGAGAGGGAGACATAGACTCTGAAGGTGGCTCCAGGCTCTGAGCTGTCAGCACAGAAGAACCTGACGTGAGGCTCCAACTCATGAACCATGAGATCATGAGCTGAGCCAAAGTCGAATGCTTAACCGACTGAGCCACCTAGGTGCCCCAAAGATGGTTAAATTTTTGAAAACCATTCAAAGTAATTCACCATATTAACACAATAAAGGAGGAAAAATCATATGATCATCCCAAAAGATGCAAAATATATATATTTGACAGGATTCAATATCCTTTTATGATAAAAAAAATAGGAAACTAGGAATCTAGGGGAATTCTGCCTTGTTCCTTCTGATGAAGGACATCAACTGAAAAACCTATAGACAATATCATATTTAATCATGGAAGACTTGAATGCTTTCCTCCTACATTTGGGAACAAGGCAAGGATGCTCATTTCACCGTTTTTATTTAATGTTGTACTAGAAGTCACAGCCAGTGAAATAAGGCAAGAAAAAAAAATACACAGATTAGAAAGGAGGAAGTAAAATTGTCCCTATTAGCAGATAGCATGATTGCTACATAAGTTATTCTAAGAAATACACAAAACAACCACTAGAACTCTAAGTGAATTTAGCAAGATCACAGGATACTAAGTCAATGTACAAAATCAATTATATTTCTCTGTTACAGCTGCAAACAATTGGAAACTGAAATAACTCCCATTTGTAAAACATTTAGGAATAAATTTAACAAAAGATGCAAAAGACCTTTATGCCAAAAACTACAAATTAAAATAAGATTCAAATAATGAAGCAGTATACCACGTTTGTGGATTGGGAGAGTCAAGGCTGTTAATATGTTTATATGTTCGTCTATAAGCTGATTTATAGAATTAACAGGCTGATTTAAAAATAATTTTAGATTTACAAGAAAATTGCAAAAATAGTACAGAGTGTACTTGTATACCCCTCAGACAGCTTCCCATAATATTAACATCTTACATTTACTATCGTACATCTGTAAAAACTAAGAAATCAACACTGTTACATTAGTTACTTTACCTGGACTTCACTGTTTTTTTCCCTAATGTTCTTTTTTTTGTTCTACGATTCAATCCAGGATATTACATTGCATTTAGTTGTCGTATATCCTTAGTCTACTTAGGTGTATGACAATTTCTAAGTGTTTCCTTGTTTTATTGTTTTTAATAAGCTTGACAGTTTTGAGGAATACTGGTCAGGTATTTTGTTGAATGCCCCTCAATTTGGGCTTGCCTAATGTTTTTCCCATGCTTACACTGTGGTTATGGGTTTTTGGGAAGAATGTCATAGTGATAAAGTGGTCTCCTCATCACATACCATGCTATCAACATGATTTATCACTGGTGACATTAACTTTTTACTTGATTCAACAAACTGATTTTAAAATTTATATGGAAGGGTTGCCTGGGTGGCGCAGTCGGTTAAGCGTCCGACTTCAGCCAGGTCACGATCTCGCGGTCCGTGAGTTCGAGCCCCGCGTCGGGCTCTGGGCTGATGGCTCAGAGCCTGGAGCCTGTTTCCGATTCCGTGTCTCCCTCTCTCTCTGCCCCTCCCCCGTTCATGCTCTGTCTCTCTCTGTCCCAAAAATAAATAAAAGTTGAAAAAAAAAATTAAAAAAAAATTTATATGGAAATACATAAGATTTAAAATAGCAGAAACAATTTTGAAAAATAAGAGCAAAACTGAAGGATTTACAAGTCTTACTACAAAACTATAGTAATCAAGACAGTGTGGAATTGGCATTAGGACAGACAAATCACTGGAACGGACTAGAAAGTTCAGTTAAAGACCCACACTTATATGGACAAGCCACTTTCAAGAAAGACAGGAAAACAATTCATTGGGGAATTATGTTTTCACCAAATGGTGTTGGAACAGTTGGGTATTCACTTGGGAAAAAAAGAGATCAAGAAAGCTGCCTAATATTACTAAGTTTGTGAGTGGCAGGGGCAGGGCTTCCAAGCTGGACTTTCTGGCTAACACATGGTAATTTTGAATATGAACTTATAATCAATACATTTAGGCCACAATATTTTTCTGAATCCAATTCAATCTCAGGTCATACTTGCAAAAAATGTCAGTGTCTTGGTGTGCCTGGGTGGCTCAGTTGATTGAGCATCTGACTGTTGGGTTTTGGCCCAGGTCATGATCCCAGGGTTGTGGGATCGAGCCCAACATTGGGTTCTGCACTGAGCATGGTGTCTGCTTAAGATTCTTGCTCTTTCCCTCTGCCCCCTCCCCTGCTCTCGCTGTCTCTCTAAAATAATTTTTAAAATTTAAAGTCAATGTTTTCAAAGTAAGAGACTGAAGAAATGTACCTGATTCAAGGACACTAAGGAGACATAAGTAAATACAATACATGATCCAGGATTTGTATGAATATTAATTCCCTGAATTTGAAAATCATACTAGGGTTACGTAAGAGTACATTCTTATTCTTAGGAGATACATAATTATTTGAAGGTAAAGGGTCATATCATCTGCAACTTGTTCTGAAATGGTCTAACATTATTTATTTATTTATTTTTGGTCTAACATTATTAACAACATTATTAACATTATTTGATATGGAAGAAATCACATATGGAAAAAATATTAACAATTAGTAGATCTAAGTTAAAAGTACATGGGAGTTCATTTTATTATTCTTTCAATGCACCTGTTTGAAATTCTAAAATGGAAATTTAAATATTAATTTAAAAAACACTTTGTGGCAACTGGGTGGCTCTGTTGATTAAGTGTCCAACTCTTGATTTTAGCTCAGGTCATGAGCTAAATTGTGATCCTAATTCCTCTTGCCATGATAAATTTATGTAGACGTAAATATTTTTGTTTCTTTTGAAAGGCTTGTTTCTTATGTTATCTTACTGTCACAGCCTATCACAGTACTTGTGGCACAGTAAATGTTCAGTAAATATCTCTGAAATGAATGTAAATATTAGAATGTAGTTTGTGGAATAGCCTGAGTCATATGGGATTTCTCTCATGATTCAGTCTCATTTGGAAGGTAACTATGGGAAGTTAAGATTTACAGATACAGGGGATTCCTGAAATAGTAATATGTTGAGGTACTGTAAGGAGATGGGACCACTGGAGCTTGGAATGGCAGGAGAATTTGTGAAAAAGAATCCCAGGAATTCAAAGTGAGTAGGCTTTGGAAGGAAGAAGGTGGGTGGATCTGGTCTGATCACAGAAATGGTTTTCTTACCAGCAGATTTAGGAGTCAGTGGCTGGCACACAAGTCTTATAAAAGGAATGGTGGAAAATATTAGTAAAAGAGGTTGGGATGGATTGTGGAGAGTCTGGGAGAGTGACATGATGAAACTGACATTACATGTCAGTTGTGATGGCAGTTAAAAAAGAGTAGTTTAGGATAATGCACATCAACCAGGCTGGAACTCCAAAATGCTGGGACCTCTAGCTGGGAACAGCTGAGGTGAATTTTATTTTATAACACACGGGAACGAAAATAGCATAGCTATGTTCTGATCACCAAATAATTTATTTAAAATTCAGATCCCCTGGGCGCCTGGGTGGCTCAGTCGTAAGGCTTCCGACTTCAGTTCTGGTGATCCCACGGTTCATGGGTTCGAGCCCCATGTCAGGGTTTGCCCTGACAGCGCTGAGCCTGCTTTGGATTCTGCGTCTTCCTCGGTCTCTCTGCCCCTCCTCCGCTTGTTCCTTCTCTTTTTCTCTCTCTCAAAAATAAACAAACGTTTAAAAACAAATCAGATCTCCTTTCCCAGCTGTAAGATATAATTGATGTATAACAAAATCAGATTCTCAGTACTGTCAGAAACTTGGGATACGCCATACCCTACCTGTCCATGGCCTTAGGCCAATTATATGCCCCCCCCCTTTTTTCTAGCACTGCTGTTATTTATGTTCTGATTACTGTGTCAAGCGCTGTAGAGATACACTCCCTCACTTAATCGGCCAAACTTCTCTGCAGGGATGAGGTTATCTTGCTCGTTTTATTGGTTGGGAAAATGAGACTTAGACGGGCAACAACAGATCACAGTCTGAAGACTGCAAACAAAGATGTAAACCCGCCCTGAAATACAAGCCGCGCAAGAGGTGGGGAAAAACAAGCTTCGTGTGACTCAAGAGGTCCACGGCGAAAGGAAGGGAAGGGGAAGGAAACAGGAAAATGGAGACTTTGCCTCCTCTTCCCACACTGTGCAGGCGGCAACGCGGAGTGAAGGTGAAACCTCCCTTGCTTAACACCTGTCTATCCGTCTCCGTTAGGAGTCTTTGCAAAATCTCTGCATGTGATTGGTGAGATTGGAGGGATGGACGATTCTGATTGGTTAGTCGGACCTCGAACCAGGCCTACGCTCCAAGGATCGGGCGAGAGGTGGGTGGAACTTGAACCTGAATCCGTTGTTTCATTGGTGAAAAGAAAACGAACCAGGAACTATCCGGGAGCATGATTGGCTGTTGCCAGGAGCCCACCGACGGCCCTGGTTACGGAAGCCGGGGAGAGCTGAGCTCAGGGCCCGCCTCGAGGAAGTTAGCTTTGGAAACCGGGTTAGTGGTGGAGAAGAGGTGTCTCAGGCCTAATGGCGACTGTGGAAGCAAGCGGCAACGATGGGAAAGGGCAAGGGGTCGAGACCTCCGTCACCTATTATCGATTGGAGGAGGTGGCGAAACACAACTCCATGAAGGAGATATGGCTGGTGATCCATGGGCGAGTCTACGATATCACCCGTTTCCTTAACGAGGTGGGGGCCCGGGAGGTGGGGCGCAGGCCCTGGGAACTGCATGGGAGAGGGGCGGTCTGGACTAGAGAAGCAGCAGGGTGGATATGTATAGGAGGGAAATGAAGCCTGGCGGAGGGCGATAAGTGGCCACGATTCCCCTAGACGAAAACCGAGGGGTCTTAGATCTGCATGCCAGCGCTAAATTCCGGTCTTCATTAGTATCATGAATTGCATATCATACACTGAGCACTTAACTGTGCCCTAGGACAAACTCTTAAGCCATCATTATTCCCATTTTACAGAAAGGGAAACTGAGCCTCCAGACTGAGGGCTCTCAAGGTCACATGCTTAACAGCCTATAACCATTCTAACCTAGGTTTGAAGGGCTCCAAACCTGTGCTATTTCCGCTGTGTCTTCCTAACTAATAGCATTTTTGGTTTTTATAAGAAGCTGACATTTTTACCCCCTGATTATGCTGCTTTTATTTTTTTCTAATTTGAGTTAACCCTGAGGCCGGAAGGTCATGAGTTGACTCTTTCGGCCATTGACATCCTCTTGGTTAAATCTTCAAACCTGTTGCAATAGATCTCATTATGCAAGTTCTTGAGACCATGGTGCAACTGAGTGATTTTTTTTTTTTTTTTTTGTTTTTTTTTTTTTTTTTAGTTTAAGGGAATAGGATAGACTTTTAATGTATCTAACTTTATTGAGGTGTAATTGACATACAATATGTGCCCATTTAAAATGTACAGTTTGATGAGTTTTGACAAATGCATTCACCCATGTGATCAAAATCCCAATTAAGACAGAGCATTTCCATCATCCTAAAAAGTTCTCTCTTGCTCCTTGGCAGTCATTGCTCCCACCCCAATCCTTGACACTTTGAGGTATTTATATATATACATATTAACATATATATTTTTTTGATGTGTATCATGTTGAGTAATAGATTAATAATCTTGCGGTTAATTCCTTGGAAATTCTTGTGAAGTATAACCTTGTTGTAACTGGGAAAAACTTCATTTCTGTTAGTTGTTTTTGTGAAGCAAATATGCTAGTAAAATATATATTTTCTTAATTTGGAGCCTAGGGGAGGAATCACTAAATCCTGATTATTTATTTAATTAAAAAAAATTTTTTTTTAACAGAATCCAAAGCAGACTCCAGGCTCTGAGCTGACAGTATAGAGCCTGCTGTGGGGCTCGAACCCACAAACTGTGAGAGCATGACATGAGCCACAGTCAGTTGCTTAACTAACTGAGCCACCCAGATGCCCCTACATCCTGATTTATAAATCTATAGAAAGTTTTGAAATGTGAAGTTTCCCAAAAGGACGTTGTTTTTAATAAATCTTCTTAATGGCCAGTAAGTTAACATCTTAGAATTTATCAACTTGTATTTGTATGGGGTATGGCCTTTTATGCTTTTAAAACAGTACTTTAAAAGTACTTTCCCATTACTTCATCCTTGGATGACTAGTTGAGAGTGACTTGGATGTAGTGATCCTTATGTTAACAGGGTGGGAAACAGGTTCACAGAGATTTTAGTCATACATTTGATTAGTGGCAGAATCTGGTTTAGATAGATCCCTTGATTTCTCTTATCTACATAGCATTACTTCAAAATTCTGGCCTTAGGTCCTTAGGCATATGCCTCATTGTAAGTTTCAATTGTGGGTGGTAGCGTGTTAAAGCATAATTCATAACGGTAGGTGATGTTTTTCATTTGTGGTTTCATTTCCCCCAAATTTCTCATTTATGTATTATGTATGTAATCTCCACACCCAGCATGGGGCTCAAATGCACCACCCCAAGACCAAGAGTCGTGTGCTCCTCTGACTGAGCCAGCCAAGTGCTCCTCTCCCAAATTTCTTCTTGATTGACTTAGAATACATAATGAACTTGAAGAAGCATTCAGTGCTTGTAGTGGATGTTAGTTCAAGATTGAACATTAGTTCAACCTTGAGTAGTGGCTGCTGACCGGGTTCCCACATGCTGATGGAGCCAGAAACATCACAGGTGAAGTTTGAGCCACAGAGCTTTACCTGCAATTAACTCTTCTTACTTACCTGATCTGTCTTCTCTGTTCCTATTATCTTGCTCATTCCAAGCCTGTTCATTCATTTATTTTCTCATTCAAATATTTATCAGGTGTCTGTTATGTGCCAGATACTGTTGTAGGTGCTGAGGAGACAGCAGTGGATATGCCCTATTTATGCCCTCATGCAGATTAGTCGATGGGGAGTGGACAGTAAGCAGAGTAAATACAATGTATGCTGTGTTAGGTAGTGGTAGGTTCTAAGAAGAAAAATAAAGCAGAGAAGAGGACTGTGGATGTGTATGGAATGAAGGTGTGAGGGTGAGGGGTTGAAATTTTAGGTATGATGGCCAGAGTTGGTTTTATTAAGAGAATGACTAGAGTAAAGGCCAGAAGGAAGTTTAAGGGAGCTTGCCATGTGGATATCTGCAGGAAGAGTGGGAGTGGCAGAGGGAGCAAGTTCAAAGGCCTTGAGGTGGGAGTATGTCTAGTGTTGGGAGGACAAGTGAGGGGAGCCTGTAGTGGCTGGAGAGTAGTAGATGAGGTCTGCATGATCAGGTGAGGGCAGATCAAGTACAGCTCTGTAGGCTTCATGAAAGATTTTGACTTTTAGGAGAGGAACTCAAACTGGAGCAGAGGAGTGACATGATGTGACTTCATGGTTTAACAGTATCCCTCTGCAATGTTTAGAAGAGACTGAAGGAGGGCAAAAGCCACATTGAGGAGTCCAGTTAGGAAGGAGGCTATTGTAGTAATTTGGGCAAGGGGTGGTAGCTTGCACCAGGCTGGTGGCAATGGGGGATGGTGAGAAGTATCAGATTGGGGATGTATTTTGATGGTAGAGCCAATAGGATTTGATGATGCAATGGATTTGAGGAGTGAGAGAAGTCAAAGATGGCACCAAAGGTTTTGGCCTGCAGGTCTGGAAGAATAGGATTGCTATTAGATGAGGTGGGAGGACCTGTATCAGCTCTCATCCTTCTTATAATTGAAATACTTCGGGGCTTCTCCTTAGAAAGAGGTCCCTAATCTGAATATCCTGTGTCTGTAGGTTGCTTTTTTTTTTTTTTTTAAATAAATATGTTTATAATGTTATTCTGGAGTTTGAATGTGATGATTTAGAATTGGTAATGTAATTGAATTATCCTTCCCCTAACATTAATTTTGCATTTTTGAATTAGTGGTATGGGTTTGACTTATTGAAATCATTAATGAAAACCCAGAACCTTGCAGTAGTACACATCTTTGTCTTTGTGCTGTTTAGTAGTATAGAAAAGTCACAGAAAAATGGTTATACTGTCTTATGACTTGGGCTAGAAAATAACAAAGTATAACTCCCTTCGCAAGGGTCAGTATGATTTTGTGAGCCTTGGTTTCAGTCAGTATTCTAATTTTCGTACCGTGTATCACAGGTGAGAAAAGTTTGGGCGCCATTGTCTTATGTATAAATAACCATTACTGAAAAGAATAACTTAAAATAATACATTGTGATATTTTGAGGTTTTGTATGTATTTTTTAGTGACCATGGTCATGAGTGGGAATACTACCTTAGGACTTGCCTACAGATAGGATAGCATTTTACTCGTTCCACAGTGTAGGTGCTGACTGTCAGGTGCTGTGGTACTAGGTCCTTCTGGCATATAAAAGTAAACATGGTTCTGTCCTCTTGAAGCTCCTCTTCCACGGGAGACAAAACAAAAGGAGACAAACGTTCAATGATGGTGCTTTCTTTGAAGGAAACCAAATAGGAGTTGAGAAAGAAAATTGGGGGTGGTGGGGAGATGTACTTTAAAAAGAGCTTTCTGGAAAGCTTCTGTGAGGTAACTTCTGTGAGGTAACTGAGCTGAGGAGAAGGAACTAGTTGGGAAGACTAGAGAAAAAAGCATTCCCATAGTATTTGCAGAGGCAAGTGAGAGTTTGGTCCGTCAGTGGGACCCAAAGCGGCTGTGGCCATTGGGGTAGCGAATGAAGGGCAAGAACGGCCAGAGAGGTGGGTGGGAGCCAGGCCAGGCAGGGTAGGTAGAATTTGATCCTAAATGTATTGGAAAACCACTGAAGCCTTTTAAGATGGGGGTGACATTAAAACACTTTCTTTTTCTTTTACTGTAATTTATTGTCAAACTGGCTTATATACAACACCCAGTGCTCATCCCAACAAGAAAGCACTTTATTTTTCAAGTAGATGATTTTGGCCAAGAAGTCAAGAAAAGGTTGGAGGGAAAAGCAACACAGAATGGAAGAAAGTAAAACTTTCAATTCCAAGAATTTGTTTGAACTGTTCTACATCTTCTGTGCATATACCAATATATACAAATATGTACAAATAAATAGGGAAATAGAATTATAGTTTGAGACGCATGCTCCAACGGAGCCAGCTGGATGCCCCAATCGTAGTATTCCTTAATGAAATTATAGTATCTATTAATTGATCTGGGGTTTTTTTTGTGTGTGTGTGTTTTTTACATTTATTTATTTTTGAGAGACAGAGTGAGTTGGGGAGGGGCAGAGAGAGGAGACACAGAATCTGAAGGAGGCTCCAGGCTCTGAGCTGTCAGCACAGAGCCCAACACAGAGCTCAAACCCACGAACCATGAGATCATGACCTGAACTGAAGTCAGACGTTCAACCGAATGAGCCACCCGGGGCACCCCTGATCTGTGTATGCCTATTACATCAGGATTTGCCTCAGGCTGCTGAGTATGGAATTAGGTCTGTTTTATGCTACCTTCTTTCACATTTTAGATCTAATTTGGAATGATTGGGAATGTGATAAAGGGAAGTTTAGAGCAGGTACCTTTTTCTGGTGCCTAGGTAATTTTTTTTTTTAAATAGGGTATACAGGTACACTGTGAAAAAAGCCTTCTTTCCATCTGCCCAGTTCTACTGCCTCTTAAATTTAACTACCGTTGTTTGTGTATCCTTCCAGAGTTTTGTTTTGCATATACAAGCAAAAGTAAATGTGGTCACTCCCACTCTTTTTAC